CAAAAAAACAAGTACATGTATAAAGACATGAATTGGGGTGAACATACTTTAWGAAAAATTGTGCTCTATATGTGTGATAAGAATTGTAATATATTCTGCTGTCGYGTATTTAAAAAAATAAAATCAATAAGAAAATAAGTAAAAATTAGAGAAGAAAAAGAAAAGATTCTGCTGCTTGACTCTTGGTGATATTCACTGACTCATTTATTCAACAAGAATTTATTGAGCACTCACTATGCAGTTGATGAAAGAAACAGATGCGGGAGCTGCAGCCAGGGACCTTACAGAATGGACCCTTTTACTGGACAGCCAGTAACTGATTCTCTTCCTTCACTTCTCAGATTCCATTTGATGGAAGCTTCTCAGAGACTGACATGAAATCCTGTATTGGTCTCTGGAGATCCCACCTCCTGGTGGCACACATCTATGGGCAGGTTTTTCCCGGGGTTGATGATCACTGAGTCCYCTGGATAGTGCCTGTTCTTGGCTTTCTTATGGCATGCTTTCCTTGACAGAGTATCAAGGAGGTAAGATCTTGGGAGTGACTGAACAGCAGTGGCATCTGAGTGCTGTATTATCAGATCAACTCAATTATTCTCAGAGGGAAGGTCAGAACAGAGAATGTACAGTCACCTTAAGGAGAGGGATAACCATTGAATTGGTTCATCTATATCTTTCTCCTGCTTCTTTGGGCACAGGCATGGTCACTTGGCTGTTTTGAGCATCCCCAGGATTTGATTTGTATAGGTATGATTAGATGAATGACACAGGGTAGAAGGTATGTCGTAGCACATAGGAGGGCCCCGTGGGCAACATCGGGTCAGTCAGGGAGTGGAAGGAGTGAGATGAAAGTTTGGGTAAAAGCCTTCATTGTGATTTTCACAAGAGAGAATGGATGAGGCAGGATAAACAGTCAACCAGTCTTAGGATTGTGCAGTTTGAATCCTTTCAGCAGACTTTGAACTACAGGTTGTCTCTAGTAATCTAAAACCTGTCCCTGTGGTGACATAACGCAGAGGGAGTGGGCTTGATGTATGAGAGTTCAATAAGGAGGGTGGGTGAGGGTATGGGTTCCAGACTAGTTAGTTTGCATATCAAAGGCATGTTGGACAGCAAGGGGTGTGGTAGTTCCTTCTTGGATCTACAAAGCCCAAAGATGCCAAAGCATAAAAAAATCTAAAAAAAAAAAATGAATGAAACAATGACTCCAGGCATAGTTAGTTTCAGTGATAGGCTCAAAGGGCGGGCATGTGACCTAAATCAGACCCACCAACCTTTTCCTTTACTGTCGCTATAGAAGGATGTGATCCTGCAGCAGTTGGCTGCCATGGAGAAACCAGTTTGGGAGAAGTGACCTGATATACACACAGTGTCTAATTTATAAGGACTCATCTTGTGATGTTACTTACTTTTTGAAGTTCTGAAAGTGATTTGCTTTCAGTACAAACCATACCTTGAGTTTTGATAATCTTGAAGGCCAGGAAGATGCAGTATGATGTTCTCTCAGTGCTGGGTAGCAGCAGAGAACCACAGCTTGCAGTTGGTCACAAGACCATGAGGGTAAACAACCAAYAGTCTACAGTGTACTATGTTATTAAGCTATGTTTGGTAGTTTATATGTATTAAGTATTAAATGCATTTTTGACTTATGTTATTTTCAACTTACTATGGGTTTATTGAGATATAACCCCATTATAAATTGAGGAGCATCTCTCACCGCCCCCCCACACCACCCCCCATCTCCGTGTGTGTGTGTGTGTGTGTGTGTGTGTGTGTGTGTGTGTGTATGCATATGGTAGAGTCAGGTAGACATCTTAACATCTCCATTGTTACATTTAGCATTTGCATGACTCTGAGCTACTTGAATTACTTCATTTGAAAGGCTTGTGGTGTCAGTTACATAGAATTTATTGAAGTTACTCTTACATAGTAAGTACCGAACTAGCAGCAGAATTATTCTCAGATGTAATTTAAGAGATTTAGTTATTAGCATATGGAATTTTTGCAAAGTTGAACCTCTTTAGGAGGAATTTCTAGGTCCTTTAATCTTCTTCCATGATTTTTTTTTTTACACGGTCCCTTTCAGCTTGAGTGAGGTACCACATATAAAGCACTGAACATGTCCCTATATAGTGAGGGACATAGTAAGTGTCCTAGAAATATTGGCTATCTACTTGGGTATCTTCCTGAATAGAGAGGAGCTTAACCAGTGATCAGGATTCCCTTGTCTTTGAGGGCAAGGGGTGTCCTTGGGGGTGGGAATAGTGGCATTGGCATTTGTGATTGGTTCCAAGGCACTTATGATTACATCTCTCTTTGTGTATCCATTAATACATTACATTTCTATTTTTCCCATATTTTTATTGGTGCATTATAATTGCACATAAAGGTTGGATTTTTTTATCATATATTGATACATGCACACCATATAACAATACAATTTGGCCAATGCCATTCCCCAGTGTTTCTCCTTTCCTTCTCCTTATMTTAAAAAAGCTCTCTTCATTGTCACACTCTCTCCCTCTGATCACATAGCCTGAACTGCTCCTTCCAGACAGACCTACATTCACACTCCTGGAAGAGAGGGCTGCCTACGTACCTTGCACTGATTCAGAATCACAATGCCTGAGTTCTTGTAATTCTTCTTCTTGGCTTTGTACTTGGGATTGATGCACTCCCACTGCACCTGCAACAAGAAGGGTCATAGCTTGAGAGGCTGCCCAGGAGGAAGTCGAGTCAAGTTTAATGAGGCCAAGATGTTGGATACTTCTGTGGACACACRGAGGTGGAGGGCTGACGAGTGGTTTAGATAGTAACACTTGCATCGGGGGGAACAGTAAGGTTGAATGACAGGGTGAGACTCTAATATTACTGCCTGGTTCAAATTCCAGCTCCTTCATTTCCCAGCTATGTGACCTTTGGCAAATGACTTGATTCCTCTATGCCTTAGGCAACTCCTCTAGAAAATGGATCTTAGAATGATATCTTTTTCATAGATTATAGTGATAATTGCATGATTAATCTATGTAATAATTATGGGCCAGTGTCTGGCACACAGTAAATGCTTAMTATTCATAGGGTCCAATTARACAACAGAGAAAATAGGAGACCTGCAGACATACAGGTGAGTGATACACAGTGCTAAGTCTTAGCACCTGGGAATTGGCTGAAAAGGTAGGAAAAGTGAGGAGCACTAGATGTTGGCTGCAAATGTTAGTAAGAACACTGATGAGTTTATGCCAGACTTCACTGAAGCCTGAAATAGTGGATTCAYGTGTGTTACAACAGTGGCCTAATTGATCTCCAAAGGGACTCCTATGAGAGATAAGAATGGCTGAGACCTGAGAAGTTAGGGAGTTAAGGGGAAATGTAGAAGAATAATTTTCAACCTTTCCAGCCTCCAGATTTCATGGGACTAAATCAACCACGAGACAAACATTCAAGAGCCATTAAATGCTCCTGCCCACCATCCTCTGGGAGTTGGATCCTGGGATTTCCACCAAAGAAACAAAATTTCACCCCTTGATAATCAGARGTGCCTGATAGGAAGCAGTTTCTGAGGCTGATGTGAGAGGGGCAGACTGACACTTTAGTGGCCTCCAGTGATCCACTCCTCTTGGTGCCCATGTGTTTCTATAATTCCATCCCAGAATGGGGCTGAGCTTAGTCATTGACTTATTTTGGTCAACGTGACATTAGCAAAGGCCTAGAAAGTGTCTGTTCCTTGCTTCTGGGAAGTTTTTTTCCACTGTGTAAAAAAGCTTATGCTGGTATCCTGAGTTCTGAGTTCTATTGTTTTTAGAGAATTATAATCATGCATAGTATTTGGGTTAATTTTGACAAAATCATGCATGCAAGGAATTTGATTTCAGTTCCTATTCTCCCCATTCTCCTCCTTCCTTCCCCTCCTCTCTCCTTCTATTCTCCTTCCTATACTCTACTGATCTTTCTTTTGCTCTTTTATTTRTTTATTTCTGATTGGTATTTTCTATATACACATAAAGGTAAAATTCTCTTTGGTGCATTTGCTCTTGTTTCCATAAATGAAAGAAAAYATTTTATCCTTGATTTTCTGAGCCTACCTTATTTCACTAAGCACATTTTTTTCTCCATTTCCATTCATTTACAGAAATGCCATTATTTCATTCTTCTTTGTGGCTGAGTGAAACTCCATTGTGCATATATACCACATTTTCTTGATCCATTCATCTATCAACAGGCATCTAGGTTGATTCTATAATTTGCCTGTTGTGAATTGTGAACTGAAGTGGCTGAATCACTGTAGTAC